CAGACACAAAAGATATCTTCTCTCTTCGTGCACTTACATTCTGTACGAAATGGAAAATCTGATTGGCTCAAAGAGTTTTCCCAACTACAGTTTGCTTGTACTTTCATCGTCATCATCATCTTCGACTGTTGCTCATTTAGCCATACCCACTAATCACTCGTACGTGTATGTTCGAAGTTTTTTCTAGAAGCATTATTTTCCAACATTTTCATCAACTGCCTTACGGGTTCCAGTGCAATACGGCCCAACCGTCCAGTAGAACATAAACCGTACTCTAATGATGTCATCTTTAGAATAATCTGCAGCTTTTTAGGGTAACATCGGGTTGTTACTGATCTACAAATGGAATAAATTCACCTCGGTTCCAAATGACTACTTTAAGCAGGTGGATAAAATTAATAATAATAATAATAATAATAACAATCGTTCAGCTGTAACACCCTTCCGGTGCCTAGCTGTCATGCCACCCGAAGGAAGCACGAGGGCTGGGATACTGCCAGGTCACCCATGCCTAGACAGGGGAAGTCGAGTGGCAGAGGTCGGGTTCGAACCACGGACCTTCCGGTCAGTAAATTCGCGCTCTAACCACTTGGGCCATCTCGTCGCCATCTCGCAGGTGGATTGGTGACTCACAAGACCGCGCACGCTTCCGCATGTTGCGTAATTTCATATGCTATCAGTCCTTGAAAATACGGTGTTTCCCAATACTTGGTCAGGTGATTTTCTCCATTTTTCCCTGTTTAGTTGTGTCGCGATGTCTCTCAGTGCCGCTGAATAGGATACGAATGCAACAAGTACTTACTGTTAAAAACAGACAAAAGTTTAACCTCATTCATGAGCAGCAACGAAAGGCTCTTAGACTAACGAATTCTGTTGTTATATTCAGCTTAGTTTACTGGCGGTAGCGATACTGCCCTTGGGCATTTTGAATTCACATCTCTTTGAGCATACAGATGAAAGTTGCCCTCCAATTGACCAGTCACATCGAGAGATATTAGACACCCCTTGGGGACAATCTAAATGCAGACAGGCAGAGAGAAAATACCCACCCAACCACACTCTCATGCTGGATTCTTGGTTAGTGACCAGACGGTCGAATTGCCAGGCTCGGCGGACAGATCGACAGCCCCTGATAAAAGTCAGCAAAACGTACATGAGCTACCGGTTTTTCCACACATTACCATTTGGGGTCGGAAACAGGTCGGAAAACAGTGCGCTACATGCTACTTCAAACATCAGTGGGACGTAATACAATGCGTTCGAGTATATTATGGGATGAATACCTTCTGTCCAATGTTTTATGGAAAGGAACCTTCAAAGTATTCGGAACAGTCTAGGTTTTATTTCCGAACAGGATTTGCGATTGAAGCACACTCAGGATAGGTGAGCAGCTGACCTAACGATCAGTCCACCCTGAATTTCCTGTTTGGATCGGTTCCAATCCCCAGTTTACTAAAGATTTTGATCCGTTAACACACGGCTATTTCAAATTACTCGAATTTACACCCACGCTAAGTTTTCAAAATTGATATCTGACAACGCATGTATTCCAGCATCTCATGCGTGACACGATTCCGCTTGTGTTCTTGTGGTCATTTCACTTGTGCGTGAGTATGAGTGAATAAACTTTGTCAGCTGTCACCTACTTCCTTTCGTGAAAAGCTGCACAGTATCAGTGTCATCGATCACCTTGAAGCATACTTAAGGAAAAAAAGGTCAATTTGAGGTTAACAGAGCATTCAGGTTGATGTGATGAGGTCGTGAATCAGCTGCAAATCCAGCATGGTTAGGGGATTCAATCTTGCTAGATCAAACAAAGTGATAAGACTTATGCTACGACTATTGAGACCACAAACACAGGTCCAGTTGTGTGAGCCGACCGCAACAACAGTAACTCACGAATGGCTCGGAAAAACCCTAACAATCGCTGTCTTAAGTCGGACGTTATTAGAAGGGGCCGTGAACAAAACCCCGTCTTATCCCATTGCCTTGTAGACCACACTTTTGAAAATAAAATCGTCCAGCTGTAATACTCTTTCGGTGCCTAGCTGCCATGCCACCCGAAGAAAGCACGAGGACCGGAATACTGCCAGGTTGCTCAAACCTAGACAGGGGAAGTCGAGAGGCAGAGGTCGGGTTAGAACCACGGACCTTCCGGTCAGTAAATTCGCACTCTCAACGCTGAGCCATCTTGCCCCCCCCCCCACAGTTTTGAGTCAAAGCCTCAAGGTGAGGTAGCTCAACCAAACCCCCTTTCTCGGCCTGGGCAACTGGGATGTATCATTCTCCTCTACAAGTCTTCTTTCGCTGCCTCCTTCCCATATGTCTCTCAGCTAGGTCCTTCTGATTACTTTAGCTGTGTATCTAAGCCTCTGCGCAGTAAAAGAAGACCACGTTGAATCCAAAGGATCTGTTCAACATGGTCCCCTTTAAAACACTCTGTGCCAAATTAGGCAACAGGAAGCTCTTGCTTAGACGTCATTCTCCCTTTCGATCGACGCACACTTCAGTCATATTTCCCAAATCTCTTCAGACAAAACCATATATCTTGCGCTTCACTCTTTCGGTGTCTGGTGGTGATCCTGATAAAATGGCTCATGGTATCTACGACGTGGGAGTTGTTCTTAGCCGCAAGGATCAGTTTACTTTACTGGACTGAATTGCATTTATTAGTTGTCTTTGCGCGGTTGGGTTGAATGTTGTGCCCCCATACGTTCCGAGAGATGACAACTCAGAAGCTGAGGAAGATAGCTTCTATTGAGATTCGTCCTGGTTACCGGGGTCGGCGAGAAGTACGGATGTCGTCATTCAGATTAGTTGGGCGAATCCCAATAAAGCCATCATAGTGCCTGATTAGGGATTCACGCTTACCGCACGTATGTTTAGGAACGGAATCCTCAGTTATGTGCTGAATATCACTTTTTTCTAGCTGGCACAAAATTTCAGCACAAGTACTCACACCATATGCCTTGGAGGCGACCGACCGCAAATTAGATGTGGACTCATTTGGACCATATGACAATCAGCTACCGGTGTAGCGGTGATACTATTGATGGAAGAGGCATGCGAGTAGTATGTTTTCTCGCGAATCCGCTTTGCGTCACCTGGAAAGTTAGATCTATTATGGAATTTGTGGAGTCGCTTTGTAGCTTTTGCTTGGATTTGAGCAACAGTCAATGAATATCCAGAAAAGTTCAAAAAGAAGCGCTCAAAGAGAGGATGGATATTCAGTTTTCATGAACAAGATGCATATGAGAGTTTTGTTTCCCTGTCCAATAGTCTGCAACTGTTGAGTTGGCATTTCCTAATGAATAACTCCGTAGCGAAGGACTTCTTCCTTTCACCGGTAGAGAGCTCCGGTACGAGATTGTCGTCCGTTTTGGAGTACACCACCGGACTCGGATCCCGGCATTGTGCGGGCATACGCATTTATTCGCTTCCCTTCTGGAGCACGCCGGTTGATACAGAGGCGGATAGTTCACCAACTGCATAGCGCCTCTGTAGCTCGGCAGTATGGAGCTGAGTTAGCTGAGAAGCGTTCAGAACTCCAGGGGCATAACGGTTCTGATAGTGATTTGGATGAGTAATGTAGAAAGGTTGAAGAAATCATGCCTACATCTTTTGAAACCGTCTGTCCGAGGTTTCTTGCACATCCCATTCAATACTGGATCTGATCAAGACCAGCAGCTCTGATTGAATCGAGAAAACTGTACCACAAACAAACGACTATGATAGCGAGCACTGATGTATTACAAAAGCCCAGAAATCGAGGAACCTTCTGCAGCTGGCGACTGTTACACCCTATTCCAGCCGGTCCGATCGACTGTTCCGACAATGGTGGCTGTTGGTTAAATGATCTCCAAAATGGTAGTTCAGTTCATTCACAGAAACGTCGTCTTGAACTATGGGCTGGAGACTGAAGAACAGTTCAGATTTCAATCAATTGGAAAATGTTTTGGACCGATTGTGAAGTCATCTTTCCAGAGAGGTTTGGTAAAAAATCGGTGGATTTATTGCTGGACAACGTTTCTCTTATGGACCACAGTCCCTTAATGCCTTCTTATTACCGTGAACCCCGGTCTGGATAGCCGATTGATAGCCTGATGCGCTTGACCAAACCAGAAAAAGTCGATGCATGTGCGAAATAGCTGATCTATTGATCACTATCGCGTACAAGCGGGTCAAAAAAGTGATACTAATATTAGGATTCATCTGTCAATGGCGAGTGAAGAAAAACCAACGAAATCTGTCTCAACGAAAACGGTTATTCTGTTGGCTGTTATATAGTCCCGGAGCTGGTAGTAACTAGACAGGTTGATTGGATTTTAAGGCTGTCAGGGAACCAATCCGTGAGATTTCTTATGACTAGCCGACTTGATCAGTGCTGGTTTGCATCCGGCGTCTTCAAAGAAACTGGCGAGTTCCTCGTTGCTAATCCAATGACCCTGCTGAGAGATATTTGGAACGAGAGAAAATTTCAGCAAAATGGGACACCCAAGTGGTGATTTCTGTATTCAAAAAGGTTACAAGAACATGGTGCTAAAACCACCAGGGCATCAGTAATGACCTTCAAGGTGCCTGCCTCCAAGGCTTCGGGCATCAAAATATTCCCGGGCTGTTGGCCCGCAGACACTGAGTACTCCAACGATATCACACTTCTTGGATCCCCTTAGAAATGCAAGTAACCTAAGTATTTGGCTGCACTTTGCACCTGTACTGAGTGAAGCTCTACTGCACTTTTGAGTGGGATCAACCCCAAAACTTATGCCTGCAACTGAACACATCGGTGTGTTCGATAACCTCGATTATCTGAGCGGCTGCATGAATTCCGCCGGACAATTGAAATCATTTCGCGAATCGGGAAGTCCAGGGCACGCCTTCGCCTCCAATGCTTGGTTGTATGCCCCACACTCCCGTTTTCCGGTGATCGGAACTGGAACCGATGCGCCTATGGTACATGGTCTATAGTTGATAAACTGAATTGAATTGAGTCGACATTTATGGCATCGACGGGACATCAAATCAACCACCAAGGGTACGTGGCAGCTATATGTGGGAACCTCTGAAGACCATCCGAAGACCTCCGAAGTGTTGCCCAGTTCTAGTGGGCGACAGATCAGTAGTGCTGAATTACGTCAAACGAGTCGCTTTGTAACTACCGCCTCCCCTGGATGAGTTAGTGACCCTGAGGGATATGGCTGTGTCATTCAATCATTGGCGTTCTTGTTTCACCACTTCACATTCAATGCATATCTCGCAGTCCCTGCCATACTGTACGAAAAGAACCTTTCGACGTCGACGAAGTGATTGGATAACCACCACCGACGCAGGGCATCATTCACTTTTTCTCCCTGTTCTCGCTGAACGAAGTCGTAGCAGCGGCAACCACGGCACTTAGATTTGACTGCAATAGTTCATTAGAGCAGAACGTTTTTTCAAAACACTTCGACTTCATCTCAAAGTCGGTAAGACAGATTTCTCTAACCTATTGATCAAAAACACTGTAGCGCTAAAGATATGCAAACTAAGATCCAGTCCGCAGAATGGTAGTTAGCAAACTTGTAAGTTCTTCACGTTCGGATAATCCTTACTTGCCAGATGCCAAACAACATCAGTGTTACAGTGCACGCTTACGTTTCCCCCATTCCGTTGACTTCATGTTTCGGGCAGATAAACCTGATACCCAACTGTGATTGATTGCCCATAGAAAAAGCCTTTCTAAACAATGGCGGACGCGGTGTAAACAGACATTGATTAATTGTAATAATCCCGTGGCTTTGGTTTTGATGTAATCACAAAGCTACTGGTGTCCTATCGAAAAAAATCCAATGTGAGCCCAGTAATGAGTGATTTTTCACGAGAACCGATTCACTCACAAGCCAAACCCGAATGAATGATTGGCTCGATAATTATCACGTGACAATGGCTAACACCCAGTGGCACGTGACCAACAGTACCCAAGTGCAACTGGCTCAGTCGTTCAAGTGAAATACTGGCCAACCACCACCCGGGACTGGTTGGTCTAGTGGCACAAGTCTGTGGGTTTGGAATGCTGCATTCGTGGGCTGCAGTTCGAAATCCGTTTTCCCTCACGAATAAATGACTAAGTCTAGGGCAGTCACCTCACTTTTTCAGCTTTGTAGCGCTGCTGGCTATTAATGGGAAGACAATTTTTGGACATTGGTGAGCAGAAGTTAGCACCAGAAAGGACAGTATGTTTTGGACATGTTTCACAACATAACAGCTTACCGGCGTTCGTTCTGGGAATGAAAATGTGATTGCCTAAGGTGAAACCAATTAAAAGTGTTCGTTTTTTAACCAGGTTACTGAGTATAAAAATTCTTGGGCGCGCGGCAGCCGAATTCCTGCAGTCCTTTTACAGCAACTGGCATAGATAGACCAACTAATAGAGTCGAGTGAGGGGGGGCTGGACATATTCTGCAGTGTGAACTTCGGTACTTTATACATGCATGAGTTGTTAAGTTGTATGCATCGCATGCGAGGTACTTGGAGATTTCGTGCAATATATGCTGCAAATTATTGGTGATCGTTTCTCACATCTTTCAATGACCCAGTTATTCCCGTTTTCACGTAATCTGCGTCTAGATTGCTCATGACTTCATTTGTGAGGGAACTCGATTTGAATGCGCGCTCTTTGTGGGTAAACGACCAATCAGAATCCCGGTTTGTGCCAGCATGCCGCTTTTTACGGCCTCTAGTTTGCACGTGTAAGGAAGCCAAGGCTGTCATGCGTACGTCAGAACCGGGAGCTGGATTATTCTGGAAGAGACTCAGTTACTTCAGAAACATCCATAAGACCAACACAAAGTGGTCTGTTTTGAGATGTGTTGTGATTCCAGAATGTTCGCTATCCCGTCCCACATCATTTACGCAGTTTACTGCTAAATAAACTAGTGATTACAACAATGACCTGCACGAAGCGCATGCGAGTGGCAGAATCACGTCCTAAGCGCAAACAGGGGTTATTGATTTGAACTTTAAACACCATTCGACGTGCACACACCAAGCGGTGGCTATGGAAGCAGTCATGTCGGCTGTTGTGCGCGCTCCAAAACATCTGGTGGAAATCAAAATGAGCTCCAAGAAGGGCGAAACCGGTCGTGGGCTGTCGAAGAGTTTTCAGCAAACTTGTGAGTAGTTTCCTTTATCAAAATGAGTATTGTTCTCAAGTTATCAGCCTCAACCAGCCTGTCCAAACCACATCAGCTATGGTAACCCTGTTCCTCCCTGCCCCATTCACTGAACCCACATAAGTGCCCGGAATATTTAATTTCATACCGCGGGGTCCACGAAAATTTCCGGAGGCTATGAGTAAGTGAAACTCTTAGGTCTCTAGATCATGTTAACAGCCGCATCCTGAATGATAAAGAATCTGTCGAAAGTTCTACTTTCGGCAACTGCATGTGAGTCGCAACCCGGATTAATTTAAATCTCCCGGTTGACCCGTGCACGTATTGATTCAGACAATTCAGAGTTGATGATTGGAGATGCTTATAAAAGTTACGAGGACAAGAAAGACTGTAAATACGAACTAACTTCTGCGATTGGTCGTCTAATGGAGTAACTCTATCGCAGAATTAGCCAATCCGGCTTTTGATCGTGTTCCCTCCCCCCTAGCAAATATCTCACCATTCGATCATCGTACGATGTTAACCACGAGCGCACATACAACTAGACACAGACGGTTGGTCGACACTGACCATGTGTCCTTCAGCAGAAAACCGATGAAATGGTTAGACATGACACTCAGACACGGATTCACAGTCCCAGCGGTTGAAATAGTGGAGGTTCTAATCATGTCTGCTATTACATCACTGTCATCTCTTTCAAGCGTAGTCGCCCATCTTTGACGTCAGCTAATTGTTGCTTGTTTGACGACTGACGTGAACTGCCGGGCTTGGACGATGTATTAACCATGGGGACGAATGTAAGCGTTTCAAAACAGAGAGAAATTACCAGACACAGTCTAGACAAAAAGCCCATCCAGTCTGGTGGTTTCCCATTGAGGAATCAATAACTCAGGTTCCCGTTTTGAACAAGAGTGTTGCCAAACTCGATCTTGCGGGAATCATCCATAAGCTTTGTGATGAATCAACGATAATGCTCTGACCCTTGAAGATGACGTTATTCCCCTTTGAGCAACTGCGCATGACGTCAATAGCTACCTGACTAATGTGGTTTTCGTTCGAAAGAGTTTTCAAGGCCGATAATGATACCCAGTCATCTTGGTAAACCGAAACCAGCTAGAGACTCAGGACCGACCTTTCTCTTACATCGCCTTCCGTTTGAATAGGTCAAGATACAACTTAGTGACTCCGTACTTTCTCGTGCAGAAATTATGGGGACTGCCGTAAGCCATGTCTTGGTAGAGGAAATTAGCAGTCCGCAAGATGGAACGCGTTTGAGATATCAGAGTGGACTACATTGACCCCACTCTAGCAATCATTGTCTCAGACTATCAGTAAGTTGTGTGAGATGGGGCGAGATGGCTGAGTGGTTAGAGAGAGAATTTACTGACCGCAAGGTCCGTGGTTCGAACCCAATCTCTGCCTCTCGACTTCCCCTGTCTTGGCTTGGGCTACCTGTCAGTATCCCAGCCCTCGTGCTTCCTTCTGGTGGCATGGCAGCTAGACACCAAAAGGGTGTTACAGCTGAACGATCACAATGGTTGCTCGCTGGCACCACGATGTCCAGACTCGTGTGTTGTTCAATATAATCCATAATTCTTTTGTTGGTCTGCCGCCTGTAAGTTGCTTTCATAAACCGGTTGTCATGTAATGTCGTGATTCTCCTCTGTTTCTGTACGTGCAGGACAAAGTTTACTGGTAGAATACGATGAAAGTGATCCCATGATTTGACTCGCATCTCTACCGTAGTCTTATGTAGTAAGGTTGTCCATATTAGGTGAGTTGTCTAGTTACATCGAAGAGGACTTTTTTCCTAGAGATTCTTAAATGAAAACCACGTGTTCGATGCAAACTGAATGTGTTTGTTGCAGAGTGTCATAGACATCAGCGATCCCATGAATCCCATATGTTGCCTCTTCGCTCTTCCCGACCACTGATAGTCTTTCAGGGTGTAACATTTTTGTCGGGATTCTGCTTTTCTGTCTGTAGCTCATGCCTTAGTGCGAAAATAAGTTGATACAAACTTCAGACAGCGGCCATTGATCAACGGATCGATGTGAACAAGCCTCGGCATAAGGTTCGCTTCCCTGTGTGACTAAACAATTAGACGAGATGAGATAGCAGCAGCAACTGCTTTCTGCCTGTACCGGCAAATTGTTTTTCCACTTTCCGGTAGATGCTCAATCTCCTGCTTTGGAACGCATTGGGGCGGTTGTGTTGGTGGTGGACTGAACAGGTCTCATTCGATTGCGGCACCTTTGATCTCCTATCAGCGATCGCCTGTCCCCGCTGGCGTACGTGCGTGAATGTGCCGGGCATGTGTGGTCACCACGTGATATGCAGATAGGTGGTGTTATGGCTACACCGGACGTTGGTCGCTCGGACTGTCGGTCCGTCAAATGGCGTTCGGCCAACACACGCACACACATGTCCGTGAAAGCTTACACACACACACACACACACATTCGCGCTTGTGCCTACACACGACTGCTTCGCTGCGTGAGATGATCAAAGCGATGGCCTGGTTGACCGCTCACAAAAACACAAGTGGTGGACTTTCGCCGAAGTGAAACATTAATCACTCCATCGAACCTTTCCTCCTGATTGACGTTCATGGAGGCGTACACCGTGCCCAACAGGCTTTGACAGGAGTTGAGGGCATAGGTACATATTCTATGACCGAACGGAATGAACCGTTACAAAAGAGCGACTACTCTGCTTGTATTCCATCCGTTGACCGATGCGCATAAATCACCAGTAGTTTCATCATGATTTGCATGTGTCGGACGTGATGTGGAAGATGATGATAAATGGTCTGTTTGTGACGACACAGATACGCATTGTCTAATTCCAAAATAAGATTAACCTTTTGGTAGCACTCTGCTCAAGGTCACTGCGCAGGACTTGTTTTCCTATTCATGACTGATACCACGTCTACTGGTAAACATGAAGCTCTGTTGATCAGTCTTCGTCTGCAGGAGGAAGAGTACAACTTAATGCAAGTCGTGGCGGTCTCGTTTGTCTAAAGATGACATGGCGTTCTACCACGCAATAGTACCAGTCACATCCCTTTTCTGATAAAATCATCAAAGTAGTCATCGACGGTCTTGAAACGAATAGCGTTTGCTCTCTCTCTCTCTCGATGGATTTGCACCTAATTTCAGTCGAGTTTCCTTTGTATAGCGGTTTATAAAACTTGGAAGATTGCGGGGCAACTTCTGACCGATATCGGTATACTCCGACCGAATAACAAGGATCGAAAATCCGTCTCGAATGTTGGTTCCAAAATGTTCGGAATACTTGGAGAACAGCCTTCTCCAGGGTTAAGAACGTGTGGAAAAAAAGTTTTGACAGTTGAACTTACTGGAACCGAGAAATACTAGAACTCAGTCTGAAAATTCCATCCACCGCGGATTTGGAACCAGTCGACACAATGTGTGGGCAAGTCTCCAAAGCATTCTCACGTACGTTTTCCACGACAGGGTGTCGTAGAGTGCGATCGCGACTGTTTGCATTACCTGTATCTCTTCCCAGAACACGATCGATCAAATCCAGTGGCTGTATCGTTTGTAGCCTTTGGACAGGAGGTTTCATACAACGAGGCAGCGTTGAGTCGCTTTTTTGCACCTGTTATTTGTTCCCTTCATTGCGTCGCATCTATCATTTTCCGATAAACCCAAGTGGAGTAGTCTAACGCCGGCTTCACGTCAAACTATGAAACACTGGTGGTTCAGCTAGGGATAAAAAGGCAGTCATGTATTGCATGGCACGAGGCTGCTCTTGCGCTGCCTCCTCATTCTCTTCTTTGACGTACAATGATGAAGTAGTGTGAAGCAGACCATCTACGGAACAGATGTAGCACATACTCTTCACCCACTCATCAGAATCGTGGACTACCGTGGTAGCCTTCCAGATACTCATCTTGTGAAACAGGGCCATGTTGAGTTACACTTTAAACGTGGGTCTGTTATTCCGGCTCGAGTCAACTATCATCGAGTCTAGATAGAATCCTGCACCAGTAAAGTGGTTAGAAAACAATACGTTTACACAAAGTTCGCACTGAGTCAAGACAGGGTGACCACGAGATGACGAAGTCCACACGTGGCTATATTGAACTGGGCGCATGATATCAAGGTCAAAGAGTAGTTTACCTTCAGCTGCCAAATAGGAATGGACTACAGACGCAAAACGGAAACAATCAAACAGAAATCATGCGGCTCCACGCAGAAACGTGCAGAGGCTTCTAGGTTAAAACACGTTCTTGTAATTTCGCGACGGTTTTCAACTACCCCTGAAATGCACCTTGGTGGCGGGGACCATGTACTGGTAAAATATCCCAGTGGACAATGCGCAAGTTTGGAGTTCAGCGCAACAAACTTATGTTTGCATATCCTAAGGAAGAGCACACCAGGAGGTTTCATTATTTTTTGCCTTCCAGAGAAATCGGAGTACAACTATCAAATTGGAAGACTAGGATTCGTTGCACCCGCCGAT